GTGGGGGACATCCAGCTGTAGACAAATCCTATTCATTGTAACTACTGAGGGACCTTCCCTTTCCTCCTGTCTTTCTTCACCAGCCTGGGCTGAGCCCACGCTGCTATGTTTTCAGTCATGGTGGTCTCCTTATATGTTGTGAACCGGACAAATATTTCTACAAAGAGGCTGTAAGAGTTCCATTTGTTTACTCATTAACCTATCACTGTAGTCTGAACAAAGAAATCGAAATATAAGAAAACTGACATTTAGCCACTGAATCTGCAGCCTTCTTCCCAAGATCTGGTCCAACTAATTTCAGTTTCAAGGAAGAAGAGAAGATCATGGATTTTTACCTCCATTGACATGAGAAAGTGAACTAACAATTGTTTCTACCACCTATCAGTCACCTATCAATCTCCACTCAGAAGTGTAAAAGTAGCTTTTCCTCAACAGAACACAGTGCATGATTAAACACTATACTGTCTCATATTTTATTATTATTCTCATGAATATTATAGTCATTTCTCATGTAATAACTCCCAAGTTATAGTAACAGCACTCAACATACACAGTGATGTAAATTGTGGGCCTTTGTCTTCTCTCTTAGGGTAAATTACTTAATAACCATGCATAGTACATACAATTTTTTAAAATCAGGTTTATAATCTTTAAAAGTTGTTGTTCAAGTTGTGCTGTTTTCCCCCATGCATATGTATCTGTGGTTTGTATGCATTTTGTGTGTGTGTAAGCACATGTGTGTAGGGGTACATCATATGTACACGTGGAGGCCTGATGTTGATGTTGGGAGCGGTCCCTAATAACTATTCATCTTGTTAATTAAATCAGGGTCTGTCAGGAGCTTGCCTGGCTCCTCTGCTTAGCAAACTTGCTCTGAAGTCTCCTGTACACTGGAATTACAGGTCAGTCCCACCCAGCTGGAATTTGTGTGGGTTCTGGGGATCAAGACTCAGGTCCCCATGCTTGTGTGGCAAGCACTTTGACCACTGTACCATCTCCCAAGTCCTCGATTTGTACTGTTAATAAAACCCCTAAGACTACCATTGCTAGGGCAGTGAAATGAAAACAAAGTTGTTCTTTGTAAACATCTTAAGATGGTAAGTAGAAATCTCTGGTGGTCTTGAAGACGAGTGAGTGTACAGACAGATGGAGATGGAGCTGGTGATGATTTTCCACTTTGTATGTGGTTGCATGATTACATCGAGATAGGGAAAGTCAGCTAAGTTGCAAGAAGTTGTTGAAACAAATACTTGATTGGAGTGGGAGAAGTGATATGGCTTCGGAGTAAGAGTCATTTCAAGGTGAGATGGGAACTTGAAAATCAGTGGGAAGCCAGACATGGAACTTAAAGCAGGAGTTGATAAGCAGTACAGAAGAAAACAATTTTTTTTCAGGACACTTCAGACTGATTACAGGGGGAGAATAGTAGAGACCAGGGAGGAAGAAAAGGAGGAAATTGCAGGTAAGTCAAAGATGAAAAATTGTCAACACAAGTGTGAGGGTTTTTCCAATAGGAAGAAGGTATAAGTATTGAAATGTGCCACCCAAATTGGCTCACCTCAGGGGAGCAAGGTGGCAGCCTAATGTCCTGCTAGCAGATGGTTTTCTGTTCCTTTTCAATAAAATGTGAAGCAGAACTCCCTGACAGAAAGTCACGAAACACAGGGTCTTTGAAATTCACTTGCTGTTACTTGAATCTTCTATTTGTGCCCTTGGATACAATTGAAGCTGTTCTCTAAGTTTTTGACTAGTGGATTTTCTCTTGTAGCTGCAACCAATATAAACATAATGAATATAAAGACTGTGGGAAGCTGATATTTTTCAACTCCCTATATTCCTACCTAGAAAACAGTTTAGTAGAAGATATGGCTTTGGCTTTAACATGGGAGGAAGAGAGTAAGATAATATTTTTCTGCACTTAGAAGTTCAAAGTAGTTTGCACCCCCCTCAGATTTAGGAAAGAGAAAACTGAGATTCATAAAAGCTTTCATGTTTTCAGTTTGCCTTCAGCCCCTGTGGCCAGCCACAATGGATCATGATTATTTCAAAAATATCTCATAATACCTCCAGTCATACCCATCATCAACTCACATTTTCCCTTGGTTCTTGTTACTAGTGGTTGTTGACAGTAAAGATTTTCCTTTTTTTTTTTTATTTTAGCACCTAGCTAATACATTTACACTCCACTATCACCTTTTTAGCTTCAGGGATTAAAATTCCTTTTGAACTTTTTAATACCTTGGTCTTACTTTTCACTTAAAATAGTCCTTTCCTACATGTAATTGACTTTACTTCTGCCTGAAATCTATAACACTGTCACTGCTTAACTTCAGAATTAAATTTTCTTTCCTTGGGAATACTAGCAGTTTTAAACTACATATCTACATTTGGTAGACATTTTTTCTTTCTCTCTAGTTAAACTTATGCAATGCTGTCCTGTGCATTTGCAAAATACCAACTATTACAATTATCTAGTAAACACACTTTCTTAGCCTTAAAAATCTTCCCCAAGACCTGTCTCCAGCCTACCCTTCCAATATAGCTTCCTTTTGCTGTTTCCTATCCAAACACTTTCTCCCTAGATAAAGCAAATTGTAGCCATATTCTACACTAGAGCCATGCTTTTTGGTACCTTCTCTGGTAGTGTTTATGTTTCTCATTCTTTGTTCTGAGATGACTATCAAATTAGTCTCTAAAAGTATCTATTTCTGCTATTATAATCTTTTCTGGATTCTGCTCCTGACTCTGCATCCTAATGGTCCTCTACAGGCCACTCTTCCCTCTCTCCACATCCTGGCCATTATCCTCCTTGCAATGATGTGAAAACATCAATTTCCTACTTGACAATTTTTCCTACAAGTTTTTTTTTTTAAATCTTGATATCTAAGTCGTATGACATTTCCACCCAATGCTACTCCTATGCATGATGTGTATGGCAAATTGTTGCATCTCCTTTTTAACTTAGACTTTTCTGAAATATTTGTGTTTGCTTTTCCCATCTTCAAACTTCCAGCTCATCCTTTGACTTGCTATTCAGATATAACTTCCTGGAGCACCCCAAACACGGTTTAACTGCCCATTTTCTGTGCAACCGCACCAATGCTGTGGGCTTTAGTGCTGCCCTAAAACTGCAATGGCTGCTTTACCCATGTGAATTTATACCCATGTGCATGTGCACATCTCCAACAGTTAACAGAATGGCATTTAATAAGTGCTATTTACAAGTTGTCTGTGTAGAAACATCTCAACATATCCCGATCTAACAGATGCTCTAAGTCGAACACATGACAACTTAGTACCTTTAGAGGTAATCTCATGTTTTTCTTTTTCCATCTTGCTCCAACCCCAGAGGATCCCAAAATACACACCGGAAGATACCATCATCACTTTACCCACTTTAAATTTTTTTTTGTAATAAACATAATTTGCCTTTGGATGATTTAGAAGATCTTGTTCAATTCCAACTTGTAAACTCTGTTAGGGCAAAAGTCATGTGTCTTTTATCTCCTAACATTTAGCACAAGAGCTTTGCAAATGTTAGAAGTAAAATAAATTTGGATAGGAGGAAATGTATGCAAAATTACTTTATATATACCAATATAGAAATATCAAAGAAACTGAGAATTTTATGAGATTTTTGGAATAATCTAGCATTTTCAACTGATGTATGAGATGATCAGTTTCAAAGAGGTTCTGTGGCAATTTTAAGGTCTCAGAACTAAGAAGAAAAATTAGCCAAGTAAAGCTTGATTTTGGCACAGTGCTTATGGGTTTGTTTCAGACATGCTGTACACTGTTCAACTACATTTTATTTTGAGTTTTGTTGATACAGTAGATGCTAAGTCAGTTTTCCAGTGACAATTATAGAAACTATGTAAATTATCATTGCTAGAAGGATATCTAAAAAGCAATTTATTTTTCCTGAAATGGTTTCTCTGTGTAGCCCTGGCTGTCCTAGATCAGGCTGGCCTCAAACTTGTAGATCTGCCCACTTTTGCAACCCAAGTCCTGGGATTAAAGGTGTGCAACCATTACCGCCTGTGTACAATCAGTTTTGTTTTGTTTTTTCATTTTTTTGGGGGGGTTTTCAAGACAGGGTTTCTCTACGTAGCTTTGTGCCTTTCCTGGAGCTCACTTGGTAGCCCAGGCTGGCCTCGAGCTCACAGAGATCTGCCTGGCTCTGCCTCCCGAGTGCTGGGATTAAAGGCATGTGCCACCCCTGCCCGGCTTGTTTTTTCATTTTTTGAAGACTATAGCATCCTTGAACTTACATCAGTGTAAGGAAGAAGATATATAGAGGAACTGCAAAATGAGATTTCATATTATGCAATATTATATGTACTCATTTTTTTTTTTCCAACAAGACTTGGTGGTACAGGGCTACCATCCTATTACTCAGGAGGTTGAGAGAGGAGAATATCAAGTTCAGGGGTAGCCTGGGTCACTTGGAATCTTGCCTCAAAATAAAAAGTAAAGCCAGGCTGGGGATGCGACCTCATAATAAAGTGCTTGCCTAGCATGTATGAGGCCCTAGCTTCCATCTGTGAACTGCAAGAAACAACAGAAAGGACTCATTATCCTTTCCCAGAAACCTAAGAAAAACACTGCAAAGATGATTGCTTTTATCCTTAGCACTAAGTGGAAACTGATTGCATACTCAGCAAAAATTATATCATCTTACACAAATGTAAAGCATGATGAATATCTATTTTGAATAAGCAGTCCTGTTTTTACAAGAAATTCAGTTTTTACTTTAATTCTTGATTTTTGTATAGTTTTTCCATCTGTATTCCAGCCTGTATCAATAGGCATGGGGTTGGTTTATCATTATTACCACTCTGTTCCAACACATTGACTCCCATTGATAAACACCCATAGGTATTATAGTTATTGAAAGTTAAAGTACATAACAGTGTTTGTTTCATGGAAGGTGGAAGATTGCATTCTCAGAAAAGCTGGAGCAGGTCTGTCACTGCCTTCTTCTGTTTTCTGTTTGAAAGGTGAATAAGATCTGTGGCCATCCAGTGAGAACAGCAACACAGAGCCCCCGCTGTACTTTTGATCCAAGCAAAGAGAAGCATGGAATGAAGATCTCTGCTAGGAATGGTGAAGAGACACTTGCCAACAGAAGAAAGTAAGACATTTGTTTTACAACCAGAAAGAGAAAGTAAGCCATTAATTCTACAGGAGACTAGAATGTGTTCACTAAATAGACCCAAATGTAGTATGGAAGAAAAAATTTAAATACCATTTCACTTTATTTAAAAATGTAGTGGCCAATGTGCTAGAGAGATAGTTCAGTATTGAGCACTTGCTTGTCTTGCAGAGGACCTGGGTTTGGTTCACAACACCCACACAGGCTGATCACAATCACCTGCAACTACAATTTCAGGGCATCTGAAACTCCTCCTGGCCTCTGAGGGTACCTGTACACACATGGTACATATATAGACAAACAGGCACATATACACATACATAAAAGCAAAAAATTTATAATTGTAAGGCTCAACCTTTCCCATTAATTTGGAAGATAGATTCAGCTTGTGAGAACAATAAATTTCTTTTGACTACTATTATTCTTTACTACATTAGGGCAGTTATTATATTCTAATAATTCTAATCTAATAATAATCAGAATTATTATTTAATATATTAGGGCAGTTCCAGGAACATGTGACCAGTGTGTATTTACACTGAGGACTAAATGCTTTAACTGACTTTAGTTAACTGTAATATGATTTCTACGTATAGCTAGTGGTGACTCTCTTGAACAGTATAAGACAGTACTGTCATACCATGTGATTTTTATTTATGGATAGTTAGCATTTTTGAAACAGAGTTGTGAAAAATACAACTTTCCCAACATTTTACCTGCAGTGGTAAAAATGGCCACCTGTTTATATCAAGTGGTAAGCATTTAGCAGCTTGTAACTTACTGTGTCTGTTACTATTTCACTAGGTAAATTAAAACCCTCTCTGGTGTCCCTTTCCTTGATAATGGGTGTGTAACATGACAAACTACTCAAATTAGAGGAAAACCTTTTAATATTTAGTTGACTGTGTACCTCCTAGAAAATAGTGGCTTCTCTGTCATAGCCTTCTAAATTGAATCTCAGTTCAGAATGTTATGTATTCATTAGTTCAAATAGTTACTTATAATATCTTTTAGATAATATATAGTAAAAATGTTTTCTGTGGCTTTCTCAATACAATACTATCTGTTTGTTCCCTCATTTGTTTTTTCCTTCCTTCCTTCCTTTTTTCCTTCCTTCCTTCCTTCCTTCCTTTCTTTCTTCATTTATTCTTCTCTCATACATCACATCCTGATCAGTTTCTCCTCCCTCTGCTTTTCATAGTCCCCCCTAGATACCTCCTCTCCCCCAGATCCACTTCTCCATGTCCTTCCTTAAATTAAAAAAAGGCATTCCAGGGATATCAACCAAACATGGCATAACAAGTTATAATAAGATTAGGCACAAACCCTAATATCATGGATAAACAACCCAGTAGGAGGAAAAGGACCCAAGACCAGGCAAAAGAGTCAGAGATACCCCCATCCCCACTCCCACTGTTAGGAGACCCACAAGATCAAGTTACACAACCATAACATATATGCAGAGGACATAGCACTGACCATGGAGGCTCCCTGATTGTTGATTCAGTCTCTACGAGCTCCTATGGACCCTACTTAATTGATTCAGTGGGGTGGGTTCTCCTTGACCCTATAATCTTTTCAACCTTCTGTGGGGGTTCCCCTGGCTCCACCTAGTGTTTGGCTATATGGATCTTGCATTTGCTCCCGTCCTTTGCTGGATTACACCTTTCTGATGACAATTGTGCTAGGCACCAATCTCTGAGTATAACAGACTATCACTAGGAATTTCATTGACCCCCCCCCCCATTTTTTCTTTTTTTCCAAGTTCTATTTGGTTCTATCCAAGGTCTCTGGGATGACCTTCCTCTGATTCCTGACAATCCATGCATCCTCTGGTTGTATTCCTGGCCATCATGCAGTTCAGAATTGGGCTCCCTCTCATAGCTTGGGCTTTAAGTTGGACTAGTCATTGGTTGGGTACACACACAAGTTCTGTGCCACCATTACCCAGCACGTCTCACAGGCAGGACAGGGAGAATTATTTGTTTAGATCTGTACCCCATTTTTTAATTGAACTATGGTTTGTTGATGTCTAGTTTCTTTAGTTCTTTACATATTTTGGATATTAGCCCTCTGATGTGGAGTTGGTAAAAATTATTTTCCCATTTTGTAGGCTACTGTTTTGTTCTATTTACAATGTCTTTTGCTTTGCCTTACAGAAGCTTTTCAGTTTTATGAGGTCCCACTTATTAATTGTAGATCTTAGTGCCTATGTTATCTGTGTTCTGTTCAGAAAGTTATCTCCTGTGCCAATGTTTTCAAGGCTATCTCCTACTTTCTCTTCTATTAAGTTCAGTGTTTATGTTGAAGTTTTTGATCCACTTGGACTTGAGTTTTGTGCAGGGTGATAGATATGGGTCTATTTTCATTCTTCACCATCCAGTTTCTTTTCTTTTGGTCACAGCACACTTAATTGATTCATTCCTTTCAGACAGACTACAGATCTGAGATCCATTTTTAGTCTGCTGTTGATTATTTGCTAGTAGCTAACATGAACTGGTATTCTGTGTATTATTTTTTTTCCCAAAACCTTTGTGACAATGAATAACAATCACTCTCTTGTGTTTTAAAAATTAGTGTATGTTACCTTCAGAGAGTCAGAGTAAAATCCAGCTAAAATCTTAAGCATTAAAGGTTAAATGTATTTTAGCACCCATATAACCTAGCACAAACCTTAGGACAATGAAATCCTCAATATGTTTTATTTGCTAATGAAACTAAGCAGACTCAGGTGAAAGGATATAGAACAGCTATTGAATAGATCTTCTTGTTATGAATCTAGCAATTCATTGTCCTGTGTTTCTAACCTGCCATCCACCATTCAAATTAAATAAGTTACATATATATTAATTATGGATATTATATATAAATTATATATCCGTAATTATATCAGTTAAGATAGATGCATCACAGCCCAGCCTCACACTACTCATTGTGAACAACCAGAAGGTCTGTCCTTGAGTTTGCTTAAATATTTCATTCTTTTCCCTATGTCTGAGTAGGGCTTAATTGCCATAGTAATCTATTTCTGCTTATTACCTGTGTATTGTGAAGTCCCATTCATAAACTAGTTCTGAATTTTTTTTGCTCATTAACTGCTTATTCTCCAAAACATTGTAGATTTCAGTTGGAACAAGCGAGCCTGTGCAGCCACAGCGGGCATTGGAGTACTGTCTCCCCTGTGCTGCCTCGCCCTCTGGAGTTTGTTATGACGCCTCCCTTCCAGAGGGTGAAGTACTGCTTCCACAAAACACATCTTGACACTAAGTCCTTTCTTCTTATGTTTTTAATTTCCAAATACTTTTGTTTCCTTCATATTTTTTATTTTCCAATCTTTATGGATAATCTGCTGTGTTTTCTCATCCTAAAGATATAAATTCTAATTTCAAAACTTCATTTGTTTTTTGAGACTGTGTTTTTTTCGGTGTAGCCCTGGCTGTCCTGCACCTAGTTCTATAGACCAGGTTGGCCTCCGACACAGATACTCCTGTGTCTCCCTCCTGAATGCTGGGATTAGAGGCATACACCACCTTGCCTAGCTTAAAACTTCAAATTCTATTTTACTTTCTATAATACTTTTGTTCTCTTGAAATTCCCTTTCTGTTAACTAGGCTATCTACCAAAGGATCCATTTGTAAATTAATGTACCCATCTGTAGGAGTTCCTTTATGTATTCTATGTATTACTTATCAGTTTTAGGCTTTGCAAATATTTTCTAACATTAATCATTAATAACATTAAATGATAAATGACAGGTGAATTGTCTTGGGGTAAAAGCCATGGAAGGTTTTTGTGTAGCCAATCCTGGCCTCAAACTTTGTAGGTAGCTGACAATTACCTGAAATTCTTCTTGAAGCTGTGGTCCTCCTGCCTCTACTTCCTGAATGGTGAAATTTCAGGTATGAAATTATCTTTTCAAAAAGGAAATTCTTCACTTTGATTGTCAAGTCCATTATTGTTTTTCTTAAAAATTACTGCACTAATTTCAAAATCCATAATCCATGTTTTTTTAACACCTGCAGTTTCTTTATATTTAATACAGAGGGATTATATCATATTTAAGGGGAGATTCCCTATATTAAACACTGAAATTCTAAGTCAGTTTTCCCATGTGCTCTTGAACTAATGTGCTTTTCTTACTGATTTTGTTTGCTTACTTAACATTCATTCAGATTTTTCACATAAGTAACCACTGTGTAGTTGGCTGGGCCTATGATTGTGAGTCAGAGGTCACTCTGAGTCATGTTTTCCCTTATTTATTACTATGATAATTTTTCTTTGAGGGATTTTTCAAAAATTTGTAAGTCACTTTAGTATCCTTACTTAACAGAAATTCTACAGTGCACTTTTCCAAATAAAATAGGTTTATACTCTTGTGGTTGGGTTGTGATTGGAGTTACTTCAAATATGTTGCTGATTTATTGCTATATATGTGGTGACTTTTCTCAACTTAATTTCTGACCATCTAGTGATAGGATTAGGCTTTCCATTTTGTGATAATACTGTACACTAGAACAGCATGGTCATGAAAGCTTCTACATCTGTTCATCTCCACCTGGACTCTGAACTATTATCTAACCTTTTAGATGGTCTCCATAAGAAACTCTTGTTCATCTACAGGAGACATTCCTGATTATTTATGGTCCCTAAGAGAGGGAAACAGCATGTCCATAATAAAGAGAAATGGAAACATGATATGTAACACTTGGAAGCATTATATAACAGAAACAATGAGCACGTTTCCATTTAGGAAAAAAAAATATTGTGATGAAAGAGGAGAAGCATGAAAAATTAAGGGAAGGGAGGTGTGCTGTTTCTATGAATTAAAAGCACATGCATACATAAAAGCATTCACAGTTTAAAACAAAAGCCATGGCGGCCATTTCTTTGGACTGAGCTCCTGTACTAGGTTTCAACAGATAAGAAAAAGACAACTGTAGTCACTCATAAGAAATGCCACATAAACGTTAAGGAGGTGG